CCCCAAAACCCCAAAACCCCTTAGAGAATATAAGTTGAAAAATTAGGTTGTTAAAGAAATTTATAACATTTATCTTTAATTAGAATATAATAAATCTTTTTGGAATTCTTAATTATATAATATTTATAATGATATCTCTAGGGCTAATTATATCAGGTTTGGTTATCTCGACCTTTGTCTCTTTATCTTGGATCTTGCATCCAGGAAAGCTCGAAAGAGGCTTCACTGATCACTTCCAGCAATGGCTAGATTCAAGCTCATTTGCTTCCTAAAACTTTGCAAGAACGGAGTTTGTAGGAGGATCATATGGTGGAAAAGCAAATGCTCAAGACAAAATAAGAAATCATCCAGTTATTTTCATTCATGGTCTAACAGACATTGCAGTGGGTACAGTGGGTATTCAATAAGGCTTCTCTAGATCAATAGAATATTTCCTTTTAAATGGGTACAAAAAATCTGAACTCTATGCTACAACTTGGGGTTTCGGAGATTTGACTGAAAGTGTCGCTTCTGCTGAAACTTTCAACGAGAAAAATGTGATGTATGTTAGAAAGTTCATTGAAGCTGTGCTTTAATATACAGGTGCGGAAAAAGTTGATGTAATTGCACATTCAATGGGTGGCCCTCTTTCAAGAAGAGCTATCAAAGGAGGTCAGGTTACTAATACAATTGAGAATTTTAATGTAGGATTGGCTTTGACAGATAGTATTGATACTTATATTACTATTGCCTCTCCTCATTATGGAGTATTACAATGCTATGGTTAAGGGAATAATCCTTCATTGCCACAATGTAGTAATTAGAATGGATTTTCACCTGCGCCAAGCTAATTTCTTAAAGATCTAAATGATGATCCAACTCGAGAAGGAGATCATATTTATTCTTTTGCTTCAAGTTAAGATCATATTCTCACTGCTTTAACATATGATGACTTTTCTAAGTATACGGGAACCTTTCCAACAGTCGATCAAAGCTACTACTTCAAAACAAGGCCATATTCTCATGATTGTATGAAAGACGTGACTGCTATGCTTCAACTATAAGCTGTAAAATTTCACAATTTTAATATTGATTTTGATAAAATGACAGAAAACGGTAAATACTGTGAACTTTATCCTTATTGAGGAAAAATTTTTTGCTTTTGAATTAAACAAACTTGTCATATTTTAGAAAATTCTGATTTATTTTTAAGCTTAAAATTTATCATTATTGAATTTTTTCATTAAAATTTATCTTCTGGGGTTTTGGGGTTTTGGGG